GTCTCTCTCACCTCGCTCGTCTTGTCTGTCTCACCTCGCTCGTCTGGTCTGTCTCACCTCGCTCGTCTCGTCGGTCTCACCTCGCTCGTCTCGTCTGTCTCACCTCTCTCCGCTTGTCAGTCAGCTCGACTCACTGGATAAATTAAATCTGATCTGTGATGAGACTGTCGTTCGGCACGCTGCATTGAGCAGCCGCGTTCAGTTTTTAATTGTAGTGTCTGTTCTTTTACTGAACTAAATGATTTTTATTACTATAAAAAATCAAAACGATGGTGGGGGTCGGTGTTGTTGCTTAACACCGGTATCACCGTTAGCACAGTCTATCGCGGCAAGCCTAGCACAGACAAAGCCTTAGTTTGTTTATATGAAGAGATTTCTTTTATTTGAGCAACTTATTTGATTTGGGGTTTGTTTTAAAATTGCAATTTATGTTTTGTTACTTCAATTTCACAAAAAAACATGCAGCAATAGCCTAATAAAAAGACAGCTTTTCATTTACTGTATAATGTCTTCAATCTCATTTTGTTAAAAGAAAAAAATTTGAGAAAAACGAATCGTGAAATCAAAACCATGGGTCTCACCTCGCTCTTCTTGTCGGTCTCACCTCGCTCTTCTTGTCGGTCTCACCTCGCTCGTCTTGTCGGTCTCACCTCGCTCGTCTTGTCTGTCTCACCTCGCTCGTCTCGTCGGTCTCACCTCGCTCGTCTCGTCGGTCTCACCTCGCTCGTCTCGTCGGTCTCACCTCGCTCTTCTTGTAGGTCTCACCTCGCTCTTCTTGTCGGTCTCACCTCGCTCTTCTTGTCTGTCTCACCTCGTTCTTCTTGTCTGTCTCACCTCGCTCTTCTTGTCTGTCTCACCTCGCTCTTCTTGTTATTTTTATATTGGCAGTTTATTTTTATTACTATAAAAAATCAAAACGACGGTGGGGGTCGGTGCTGCGGTGGGCAAGTGACATAACCGGTGTTGCGGCTTAACACCGGTGTCACCGTCAGCAACGTCTATCGCGGCAAGCCTAATAGCCACATATTATAAATAAAACACATAACTAATAATTAGCATTTATAGACCTTTTTCAATAAAAATGTTTGTACATGTTGGTTCGCAGTTCATTAACTAATGAATGTGCCCATTAGGATTAACATTAACTAAGATTAATAAATGCTATAGACGTTTTGTTCATTGTTAGTTCATGTTAATTAATGTTAACAAAACATCTTATTGTGCAGTCTTACCATATAATATTTCCTCCCATCTTATATTTTCTATATATTCCTTCACCATATCTGCTTAGGAAATCAGTAAAGTGTGTTTTGCGCATTGAATTATTAGCTGCCAAGAGCAAGAAACCACGTTTAGATGATAATATTGTTGATAATAATGTTCGCTTACGAATCACATTGTCAAAACTATCTCCTTTATCTCAATTGTTTCACATTTTTTTCTCTTATATTAGTGCTGCCACTGGAGCGACATGTTTACCGGCCGCCTGCGAGCTGAGATTCCTCCAGCGCTGGTAACATGAACACTGAATGATTTAATATTTAATCTTTCAGAGCAAAGACTTTTGCAAACTCTTAATCAAACCCAGTGCACTCATATTGAGTAGTCATGAATATAACAGACCGTTTAACGCTAGTAAACGATGCTTCTCTAGGTTTCTCTGGGCAACGCGTTAATCACTGCTGGAGCTCGGCTGAAGGTTCTGGATCTGAGCGATAACGCTTTC